TATTAGTTTAAATTAACTGATCACTAAACTCTATCAAATTTTTTCTAGATTTTACTTTTGGAAAAAAGTGTCTTATAAGTATTATTAATGAAAATCATTATGAATCTGATATATTTAAGGTAAGATGACTTCTATTTGTTTTTTTTAGTACAAAGACAAATTATAATAGAAAAATGTCAATATTGGATTCTTTGAAAATTTGACAAGTTGGGAACCATTTTGGTAAAAACAAAATTCAAAATGGCTAAATGTTTTCAATCATTTCTCTGACATGCCTTGATCAATTTCATTCAACTTGTGCTGGGTTGTATAGTGATGCAAATATAATTTTGTGTTTTGATTAGAGTAGATGCAAACAAGATTTGTGCAGGTAACTTGCAACTTTCCTGGGAAAGTCTTAAATTATCAATGTTCCAATAACTCTATGAAATTCCCTCAGACGATTGAAGTGATCGCAAATAAGATTCATACAGATATTGTACAACTTCCTTTGTATAGTCACAACAATGTTGCAATATGAAAACAGTAAACTTCACCATAGTATGTACCTAAACAAAAATCAAGTGGTGTAAGGTGGAAGTGAGATTGTTACAAAATGTAGCAAATTGTTTATATAATATCAGATCATTTGATATCGCCAAAACGAAAGTCCCTCGCTTTATTGCAATGTTCATAAGGACTTTCCTAGAGAATTTGCTAACTCCACTGTAAAACAAGGCTCATTGTCCTTATCTAACACTCTTTCAATGATAGCGTATAATCTCAAATATCAAATATGTCATTATTGTGGGAACACATGAAATGTAGAGATAACCATGACGTTCAATTACTTCTCCATGTGAAATCACCCTCTTGATTTAGAAGAATCATTCTTGCTTGTCTACATAAATTTACTCGAAAAAAAAAAATGACTTTTCATATTGCCTAATGCATTCAGAATAATTGCAGCCTGGATGTCAGCTCATAATCCATGCAACCAAAAGAAAAAAAAAAAAAATTTGTCTTGAACCCTAACCTGTATATTTGACCTCTGACCTTTTATGTATTGACAGAATTATATGAATGAGAATAATATCACTGTGAAAGATCTTTTAAAGCAGTGTTTGGTGAAGTTGGATTCCGGAGAGTATGTCTGCCCTGGTAAGAATAGATACATGTAGAAATTGAATTCACTGGGTTTAGTTTCAGACAAGGTTTTAAATTTCCTGGAATGTGAATTTAAACAATATGTTCTATGTTTAAAGCGGGAGGCTCGTCACCTGCGCACGCGCGGGAATTGAGTCCCAAGCGATGATAACAACACATGCTAAAAATGCAAATGTTTATAAACAATGACATGCTATGGCCATCTGACGCATGCATGCACAGGTGACGACTCCCCCGCTTTAACTTTACATAATCTGTGAGCTTTAAAGCGAAAATAAAATCCAACTACCGGTAATAATTAAAGCAGGTGCAAAAATAAACTGATCAGGAAAACTGCTATCTCCTTTGCTCATTGTTTTTTGAAAAATTAAGAACACCCGTTTGCTTATCTATGTCTCACTGTATTGACAAGGATTCTTGCATTTGAAAATGAAATTGTATACTTGTGATGATAATAATAATTCACTGTGTTCGAAGGTAAAATACTGGTAGGAAATTTAATGTTTTAACGTTTTCATGGTAATTGCTCAAAATCTAACTTAAATTTCAATCCAAATCCATAAATCCTATTTAAAAAAGATTTCATCCACTGTCGGTGTTTAAATGCCTTCTAGTTTACGCGTATCCTCCATAAAATTATTACACTGCATGTTTAAGGGACGACGTCAAAAGATCGATGTCGGATAAAAAACTTAATTCCTTTAGTTTTTTTCCAAACCCCCCTACCCCCCACTGAAACTTAATTGATAAATATTGGTCATGGCGTCAGACTACATTCACCATTAAATACAAATTGATAATCGGACAGTAGTATTGCATAGACGTTGGTTGTCGGGTGGGTGTAAAAAGATTTTACAAATGCACCTCATTTGACGCACAGATTTACACTCGAACCAAACCATTTTTCTGTTTTTTTTCCCTTTTCGGTTATTTCTGTCCATGATTGTTTAGAATAAAAACAAACTACAAATACTCCGAGATTTTTTTGACTTCAATAAAAAATAAAATCGTTTTTGTAGGATGGAAA